TTGGATTTTGGAGATCTCAAGGTATAGATCTAGTGTGGTTGAAATTGGAGTGTCTTCACAAGCAATAGACTTGGAGTAGTCAAGCTTGTTAACTCATTAAAATATAGACCTGAAGTGGTTGATCTGTAATTGATGCTTATATAGCATTGGAACATGACCTACTTTTGTTCCGTTGTTGTCAGTGGTAAGTTAGGTCTATCCCGTCACCATATGATGTTTTACGCCATTCCAAGGGTAAATATGATTTAATTGCATACGGTTACTTGATTAAAACTATGTTTCCAATTTTAAATATTTAATAACTTTATTCTATAAATGTTTGTCGCAGTAGGCATTATGCCTGACCCTTTTTTCTTAAATGTCATGTATATCAAGATCACTTAGCTGTGGAGCTTCAAATGTTTGAGTATAGTGATGTTTTCGGTACTGGCATTTTTGGGTTACTGTTTTAGAAGACATATTTAATCAAAGTTACTAACATTACATTTATTCTTTTGAGTATCGTAGCAATCGCCACCCGATTGTCATCTAGATCTAGAATTGATTTAGATTAGTAGGTTGTTAGCTACCGTCTATTATTGATATAAACTCTCTTACTACTTCCCCTTTGTTCGGTGATTATATTTGATCCAACTCTTATTCCGTATGATTCCGCAAGTGGGTACCCGGTTTCGCTGCTCATCCCTACTATTCACTTTTTATACCTTATTTTCTTGTTCATGTTCATCGTAAATCACTTGTTAGGTCACAAGAAATGGCAGATTTATTTGCTCTATCAATAACCAAGCCGGATCTGGTGTATCATAATATAAATAGAGTTTTTGTTCTTTATATTACTACAACAGATTCTCTATCTTGTTCTCTAAAATATAAAAACATAGAGAAAATTCTAGATATAAAGAATTTTCTAATTTTTTTACTAGATGATTGAGAGATGGGTTTTTTTTTCATTCCTAAACGAGATTGAATTAATATTATTTTATATAAAGTTTTTATTAAATGTACTGAGATCATAAAATTATAAAATATTCAGATACTATAGTTAATGATGAAATCTCTAAAATAGAGAATCTGTTGGAGTTGACTGTAATTTATTTTATAAATTTTGACTTTTGATTATTTATTTTAGAGAAATTATAGAGAATCTGTTAGATATGTTCTAACTTCGTCTTAACAACTTGTTATAATTTTTCCAGATATGATTCATTTCCTGGTCTCATGAACTTAATTAAAATCTTGTTAAATACTTGATTATTAAGAGTATCTTCAAAAATTTCTTTAAAATAAATAAAATATAGATTTTTTTCTCTGTATTATTTTCTAAAGGGAAGAGTTCAAAAAACCCAACAAACTTTCTCATTTTGAATGGTTTAACCCCTAAACTATTAATTAAAAAATCATTAAACTTTTTCTTTTTAAATGATTAAGTCTCTAAACTATTTTTTTGAATGAAAAAAACATTAAAGTTTTTCATTTAATTGATTAATTAGTCCCTGAACATTATTTAGTAAATAAACCATCGCACTTTTAGAATTGGTTACTAACATTCTTTTAACTCAAAAATAAGTTACATTAACTGATTATTAAAAGTCCGATGATTTATTTAATTTTTTTTTAAAATCAGGTTTTAATCATTCAAAATGTGAAAGTTTAATTATTTTCCATTCAAAAAAAAAAAAACAGTTCAAAGACTTAATCATGTAAATGAGAAATTTTAATGGCCTTTACATTCAAAAAAATAATTTAGAAACTAAACCATTAAAAATGAGAAAGTTTGTTAGGTTTTTTTTGGAACTGTTTATTTCAAAAAATCCAAATTTAAAGAATTCTCTAAAACTCAATGACATCAGAGAAATTACTTTTTCATTTTTCTCCAATAAAATTAAATTATTATTATTTTATATAAAGTCTTTTTAAAAAGTATATTAAAATAATAAACTTATATAATATTTTAGTAATACAATTAATTCTGAAATCTTCAAAATAGAGAATCTATTTAATTTAAATATAATTTTTCAGTGATTATTTTGATTTTTAAATTAGTATTTTAAAAAAATTACAGAAAATATATCGAAGATGCTCTTAACACACATAAAACTCCTATTTTCTATCTCATAATGATGCTATCTTGATTTTCCTATTTTGGTTAAACAAAAAAACCACTTTTGCCCCCACCCGATTTCACTTTGTCCTTATTATATGTCGTGTCAAACGTGGAACATTAATTTTTGTGTCTCATGTACTGCTAAACCTATGATATGAGTTGTGTTATATGATATCCGGTCTTATGTCACATACCTCACTACAACAAAATCGGGTTTATAGGACACTCACAAATTCTAAACGTTCTAATAGATCTCTTTATAGAACTTAGGCGTTGTTTGTTTACCTCTTAATAGTTTCATTAAGAGGCAGACTCTAAATCATTAAAAGGTGAATCTTGTTTGGCAAAAAAAAAAATCTACCTCTTAATGGTTCTAAAACCCTCTGAATGATTTTGTATCATAGGTCTCCCTTAACCATTAAGCGCCATAATTTCATTCTAAACAATTACCAAACAATTATATTTCATTTTATACTATATCATGAGAGTCTCTTAATCATTCTAACCACTTAATCATTTTGCACCAAACCATTCAGCAAATTTCAAACAGCCCCTTAGTTTATAGGACCAAAAAAATGAAGTGTCATATCTAAATGTGTTGTATTAAGTTTATATGACGTTTTTTGATGTCGTAATAAGTATTTTAGAACACTTTTAATATAAAGTGTTTCATTATCAACTTTATAGGACACTATTTGAAAAACTGTCATATAAAAACAAATGTCCTATAAAAAATTGAGTTTATAGGACACTTTCTCAAAAGTGTCCTATAAAGTTGCTAATGCGATACTTTGTATTAAAAATGTCCTAAAAAACTTGTTAAGACACCAAAAAGCGTCATATAAACTTACTCCAACACATTTAGATAGGACGCTTTATATTTTGATCCTATAAATTAAGTCCTATAAAGTGTCCTATAAACCCAATTTTGTTGTAGTGCCACAAATATCAAACGCAATCTAAAAGACCAATAACAACTCATAAATTAAGAACTCTTTTTTACACCCTTTGTTACCAACCCATCAAATTAAGAACTCTCTTAAAATTCCACAATGGTAGTTCTTATTAGAACCTTCTTTATGTATGTTCCATTGATTCTTTCAATGTCAATAATTATTAATAAAATAAAATAAAAAATTAGGAAAATGCCACTTCTCATAAAATTCATGGTAAAAATCAAGGTTCTTGTTCAAGAACCCAGAAAACATGAAGTTTTTATAAGAAACTCTCCACGATGATACCTTTTACATGCCAGTACACTTTTTACCGATAAGAAACTTAAGGGGCTGTTTGGCATTTGTTGAATAGTTTGATGCAGAATGATTAAGTGGTCAGAATGATCAAGAGGCTCTCATGATATAGTCTAAAATAAAATATAATTGTTTGGTAATTGTGTACAATGAAATCAGGACTCTTAATGGTTAAGAGAGATCCATGATACAAAATCATTCAGAGGGTTTTAGAACTATTAAGAGACATATTTTTTTTTGCCAAACAAGATCTACCTCTTAACGATTCAAAAATTGTCTCTTAATAAAACTATTAAAAAGGTAAACAAACAACCCAACCCCAATCCGCAATCACTAGCAATATGAAATGTTAGGCCAAATACCACCAATTGTTTCTTTCTCAAGCAACCATGATAAAAACATTTAGGGTGCGTTTGATGCGCAGACAGGACGGGACAGGACAGGACAGGACAGTACAGCTGTTCAGCGTTTGGTAAGACAGGACAGGACAGGACATGACAGAACTGGTTAAAATGACCAATTTACCCCAATGAGTTGTTTAGTGTTTTTTCACTACGAAATGCATTCAAGACACAATGGACTAATTATTGGTTCAATCTAACACAAGACACAATGGACTAATTATTGATGCAAAAATACTTAAAYCTTARGATGCTAAATCGAAGATATCTGGTTCTTAGCATACTGACCTAGTAATGATTTCCTCTCGGGCGGTCTGAAGACAACCCTATCTTTCYCAGGCAACTGTAATCCACCACCACCAGTTGCATCAGGCTCCAACGTTTCCTTTATCTTGTCTATGTCAGTCGGATTCTGTAGTGGCAAATTGAAAATCAAACAAGTTTATGACTGATAAGAAATGAATTCTTTGTGCTTAGTTAAAGAATACCCGAGTTCATATTTAGACTAATCCAATGCTGAAGAAATGGACTAAAATTGCTTCGATGRTGTAAACGSCCGGCAAGACCGGTGTTGCTCTTACARCAAACTCTCATGCGGACCATCACAGTCCCATGAGTTAACGATCTATCCGGCATTGAAAACCCCATCGAACGACTTACCAGTCGAGAAGCAACAGTCGATTGGATATGGAGAGAAGAGTTCGGTACCGTCGATTGGAACAGTGGAGAAGAGAAGAACGCCGATTGGAACTCGCCGTCGCTGGTCGCCGTCGATGGTCGCCGTCGATGAAGGAAGCGATGGAGGCATTAATCGATGAAGCGATGGAGGCGATGGTTAGGTCTTGTGAGAGCCGGGCAGGGGAAAAAGGGTAATGAGGGAAAAAGTTTTGTGTCCCACTTAGTTCCAGGGGTAATGGTTGGACAAGCATCTGTCCTGTCCCACCCTGTCCAGCGTACCAAACGCACCCTTAGAGTACAATGTTTCTAGACTACATGCCCAACAACACTCTCCTCAGGTACAAGAACCTCTAGATCTTTGGGGGTCAAGAGTGTGAACCCTAACACTGTTTCAGCAGAAGAAATAGTCAAGGGAGGAAATGGTCTTTTCTCCATCATATCTTCTGTAATATTATAGATATATATAATATATATATATACACACACACACATGCATATATGTATATATACATCCAAGTATGCTTCTTTGTCACAAACTCTCTCTGTCTTTTCCATTGCTTTTCTCTTCACTTTCCCAGAAACCCTAATTCAAGACTCCTTTTTCTCACTACAAACCCAATCTTTTAAACCATAATTGAATCCAAATAGAATCATATCCACTTGTGAGAGAGTCAGAGAGAGATGGGAAACTGTTTTCCAAAACCTGTTACTAATCACTCAAGCACCAATAGCAGTCCCACCCCAGGTATATATATATATATATATATCTTTCTTGAAATTTTAGCCTTTAAATTTCACTTTTTATTGATGTTTGTGTTTAATCTTACTCTGTGTTTACTGCTTATCTAGTTTCAGCAGTTCTTGGAAGTGATGAAAAAAAGAAAAAACCCATGATCGAAATCGGTCCAGCCATGGCGGCTGACGGTGGCGGTGATGGTGGTGGCGCCACTGCTTTTTCCCGGGAAACGGTGCCGCCAAGTGGGAGGATAGTGACACCACACCTAAAGATGTTCCCTTTCTCTGAACTCCGGAGTGCCACCAGAAACTTCCGGCCAGACACCATGCTCGGAGAAGGTGGGTTTGGTCGGGTTTTCAAAGGATGGGTGGACGGTGTAACGTACGCGCCGTCGAAGGTCGGTGTTGGCATCGCCGTTGCCGTGAAAAAGTCTAATCCAGACAGCGTCCAAGGGCTGAAGGAGTGGCAGGTTTGTAATTCTTTCAACTATGCATGCATGACGTATTGGATGATTGCATCTCTTATTGAATTGTGCATTAAGAACTTGTACATTTTCAATCATTCATTCTTGATTTGTCTCTTTATACCACCACTAAAATTTCTACATACAAGTCGATGTACAAGTTCTAAAGCATCTTTACACTCGGATTTAGAAAATTCCCCTCTAAAAAAGACTAAATTCTACGAGTTACAATCGAACAGATGTTCTAATCAAACGAGAACCCAGTAATTTGTTAAACAGTAATTATGCTTATACAGTTTAAGCAAACAGTCGTTTACAGTATGCTCATACGTATTCAAAAAGGTGTTTACCAGTAAAAAATCAAGAACCCTGTAATTTGTTAAACAGTAATGATGCTAATAAGTTGTTTACAGTATGCTCATACGTATTCAAAAGGCGTTCACTAGTAATAAATCAAACGTGGTCAGACAAACCCAATATATCTGAGTCTAATTTAAAATCTTGAATTTTGATATTATGTTAATTTAATTTTATTTAAAATATGGATTTATTATTATTATTTTTATTTTATATAAATATAATTGGGGATGGGTATGAACACCTTAAATTTAATTTTCCACACACATGTCAATTTCCAACAACTTGATAATTAATTATAATATTCTTTTTCTTTTTTTAAATAATTTAATAATATTTCTAAAATATTTAATTGGGGATGGAGACCCTTTATTCTTGGGTCAAAAGCTTCAAAGGGTTTCTCTAATTACTGAGTCAAAGGGTTGACTTTTGGAGGAGCAAAGTTTGGCTTGAAATCTTTGAATCATTTAATCCCAAGATTTCTTTAATGATTTCATATTTTTTATTTTTATTATTTTTTAAATAAAATACGGATTTTAAAAGATGGTTTTAATGGGTTGGGTTCACGTGAGATCAAAGTTTTTTTGTGAGGCTCGTAAGGCCAATTTATGTTTATTGATCAACTTTATAAGCTAATTATCTAACGGTGTAAAGTTGCACGGTGGCAATTTTGTGATTATGAATGTTCTGATTGTGGATCTAATCCAAATGTTGAGAATTGGTCTTACGGGTCTCACGAAAAACCCTTGATCTCACATGATCCCAAGTCCGGTTTTAATACGTTGTATTTATGTGAAAATGCTCGTTATTTATAGGTAAGAAGATCATTTTCAAGATCTCGTTATTTTCATTAACGGATCTTTTCAATCTCGAAATTTAATGATTGATATAATCGAAGACGGTTTTTTATGAACTTTAATATTTATTAGTTTCAAACTTGATTTTGTGTAATTATTATCTGATAATTAGGATTTTATTTGTGTTTACAGGCAGAAGTGAAATTTTTAGGGAAATTCAGTCATCCAAATCTGGTAAAATTACTGGGATATTGCTGGGAAGATAGAGAATTTCTTCTCGTATATGAATATATGCAAAAGGGCAGTCTTGAAAATCATCTTTTCAAAAGTAAGTATTTTATTTTACGGTAATTAATTTAATTTATATACAAAATTAATAGATATTTAATTTGATTTTAATCGTAATTGGAATTTACAGAATGTACAGAACCACTTTCATGGAGTACGAGAATTAAAATAGCGACCGGAGCAGCAAAAGGACTTGCTTTCTTACACAACACTGAAAAGACTGTTATTTACAGGGATTTTAAACCCTCAAATATCTTATTAGATGGGGTAATTGGAATTTTAATTTAACGAATAATTAAATTCATTTTAAAACATATTTTCTTATTTTTCGATAATTTTTTCAGGATTATAATGCCAAACTATCAGATTTTGGACTCGCAAAGTTGGGTCCTGCAAACGGCGAGTCTCATGTCTCGACTGGCGTCGTTGGCACCTATGGTTATGCTGCTCCAGAATACATAGCCACTGGTAAGTTCACTTGTTTCAAAAAAAATTATTGTGGTAACTATCACTACAACAAAATTGGGTTTATAGAACACCCTCAATCTCTAAGCGTCCCAATACACCGCTTTATAGGACTTGATTTATAGGACTAAAATATAAAGTGTCCTATTTAATGGTGTTGTAATAAGTTTATATGACGCTTTTCAACGTCTTAACAAGTTTTTTAGGACATTTTTAATACAAAGTGTCGCATTAGCAACTTTATAGGAGATTTTTTAGAACGTGTCCTATAAACTCAATTTTTTTACAGGACGGTTTTTCAAATAGTGTCCTATAAAGTTGCTAATGAGATGTTTTATATTAAAAGTGTCCTAAAAAACTTATTACGACGGCAAAAAACGTCATATAAACTTATTACAACACCTTTCAATATAACGCTTTATTTTTTTGGTCCTATAAACTATATATTTCAATGATGTGACGTATATAATACAGCATAGATTACTTTCTATTTGGGTTATTTTTATTATATGTGTATAACATCTGATGTTAATATATATATATATATATATATATATATATATATATATATTGAACCATCTTTTGCCTGACGACCGTATATATTTTAATTTCCCCTTATTATATGTGCAATTAGATCATTGTCCACAAAAGTTGTTGACGAAGATTTATTTTATTTGACTAGGTCATTTATATGTTAAGAGCGATGTCTATGGTTTTGGAGTGGTGTTGCTTGAAATGATAACGGGATTACGTGTGCTTGACACCAATCGACCCAGCTCGCAACATAACCTGGTTGAATGGGCCAAACCTCAATTACCCGACAAAAGGAAACTGCGAAAAATCATAGACCCACGACTAGACCAGGATTACCCATCGAAAGGGGTCGGTAAAGCGTCGGAGCTCATCCTAAGTTGTCTCGAAGCAGACCCGAAGAATCGGCCTTCGATGGAAGAAGTTGTGATGAAGTTAGAACAGATAAGTGCTATCAAAACAAAACCAAAGGAATCAAAGGTCAAACCAAACCAAGCACGTATCGTACAACGTGATCGTCGCTACCAATCGGCCCACCAATCTCCGCTCCACACGAAGCAAGGTAGAGGAGGTCGGGCCGATCAACGCTCTCCAATTCGATCGTATTGACTGAGTAGCTCAACGACTCGATGAGCTTTATTCTTGGGAAACGAAATGAAGTGTCCAAGATCAATTTGCCAAGAGGCCAAATGAAGGAGCCCAATTAGAGATTGCATGATGGCCCAAAAGTTGCGAAAGCATTTCTGTATTTAATTATGTTTATTTAATTATAGAATAAATCATATGTTAAATTCATACATTCAATATAAATGAAGGGTATTTTTTTTGTAACAAGTAATACAAAATCCTTATATTTTATTTCATTTATTATTTTAGGTTTTTGGATGAATTTTTAATCGAGAACCGACAACAATCATTTAATCGTTCTAGAAAGAAAAAAAACGAACATGAACGATCTTTAATTATTATATAACAAAATTTGTTGGTCTCGACTTTCATTACGGTAAGTGCTTATCGGGTAAATTGTTGCATACGATGTCGTTTTAGCGGACTAAAATCTTACCCAGTAAGTAAATAATAGTGTTAAATTTTACCGGTAAATGCTTATCGAGTAAATGCTTGGTAAACGGCCCCTTAGAGATCAAATGTTTGCTTATCGAGTAAATGTTTGTTGTGGTGAGCGGTTTTTTTCTTTTATGATAAGATCTGGACGATTATCCCTACCCTTAGTAGCTTACGAGTTTACGTCCCAATTGTTTGATCTCGTAAAACAGTCTAATACAATATTTAAATGTTTGTCAACTTCATATAAATTCGATTTTGTTGAAATTATGCTTGAAAGATTACATATATGCAACACTCTCCTCAACTACAAAAACTATTTGGGGGTCAAGAGTGTGAACACTTCAACTTTTTTTCAATAGAAGATGGAGTCAATGGTCTTGTACATATAATATTATAATATCTCGATATATATATATATATATATATATATATATATATATATATATACAAACACTTACATATGTGTATATACACATACAAAATTCCACTCACTTCAACTTTATTTCAACAAAAGATAGAGTCAATGATTTTGTACTGATAATATTATGGGGTGTTTGTTTAGAGGTATTAAGCAGTAATTAATGAGAATGAATATTAAAAAAAACTGTTTGGTTTTCTATAATATAATGTCTTCATTCTTTCAGAAATTCAAAATTCCATTCCTGGTTAAACTAGGGGAATAGAAATTCATTCCCTGTTATTTTCATTTTCATTCTTCAGCATGAGCTAAACAGACCCTTAGATTTATATATGCAAACACATACATATATGTATATACACATAGAAAATTTGATCTTCCTCACAAACTCAATCGTCTCAACCGTATTCCTCTATGTAGGTCCGTGCTTGGATTACGCGTTCTTGACACCACTCGACCAAGCTCGCACCATAACTTGGTGGAATGGGCGAAACCTCACTTGCCCAACAAAAGGAGCTACTAAAGCGTTGGAGCTCATCCTAAGTTGTCTCGAGACAAACCAAACAGTGACGGATCCAAAAAAAAAATATATCAGTGGTGTCAAAAATTTCCAAAACCGATAACTCATTCGAATCAAGAGGATTTTAACCTCATCGATCACATTTATAGTGTGAAACCTCTGAATTTTATTCAACAAAACAAAAAAAGTCAATAGGATATATAATATACAGTCTCTTCTTGGTCTTGTAAATATCATAATATATATATATATATATATATGTGTGTGTGTGTGTATCCAAGATTTCATAAGAGAGAGAGAGATGGGAAACTGTTTTCAAAAGCCTGTTAATAATCTCTTAAGCACCAATACTCCCACCCCAGGTATATATTTTGTGCATTTCATATATATATATATATATATATATA